AAATTTATTGGTATTGTTTGGGTAATGTAGTCTTTAAAATGTTCCCAAACAATAGAAAGATTCAATTTTCTGGGTGCTTTCAAAACTGAAAAAAAATAAGCATCAGATTGATCGGATTGTAATCTTAATTCTCTCTCTCTTTCTCTGTGTGTGTGTCTCATGGATTTGGGCGATTGCCGGCTACTTTTGATTCTTTCATTTCACCAACTAGTCTGTGCATCCATTTTTCACCCACTTGTGTGTGTACAGATTTACAAACTTCCGTCGTATTGTGTCCACTTTCAAGGTCATCATTCTTAATAGATCGATATTGTTTTGAGGATTTGTGCAACCTTTCTCGTTGTCATCATCGTCGTCATCTGATATTTGTACCGGCCAGTTGTGTTTTCATTCATTTTTCCATGTCGGACAACCATTTCAGCCATTGATGCCAGTATTCTGTGGTAGTCACTCCACTGCACACCTGAGGAATTGTACTTCGCTAATGGATACGAACAGCGGCGGTGTCGACGGCTATTGTAGGTCATCACTCCATCGCGCTGGCGGTCATGTGTACCAATCTAACCACGACCGTCTCAGTTTCACCATTTTCGATGTAGTTTCTAGTAGAAGCAGCAGCAGCAGCAGCAGCACCTCACCTTCATGAAAAGTGATTGTACAATTGCTTATTCAATGAAAGAAATTAAAAAGGTTTTGCAAATGCAATCAACTGTCATCTGTTTTGTGTTTGCTCTCTCTCTCTCTCTGTCTCTCAATAAATCAGTTGGTTTTCAAAGTGAACCCAAATGCAACTGAAAATGTTTGACAGATATTACGATTTGTTCCTATTTATATACTCCTGATACATTTTGCCATCAATCTGTTTTTTTCCTTGTTGTTCATCCATCGCTTCCCCACCCCGTGGCCTACGCAAATTGACGTTAAACCACAACCAACAGAATCCGCACAGGAACACGCCGTGGTTCAACGAAAAGAGGTACGTCTGTGAACCAAACTCATTTCTATCTGTGCTTCGGGGCCCGGGCGGGAGGGGATAGGATATATTCATCATCGCTCGCTCTCTCTCTCTCTCTCTCTGTCACTGTAATGCTCAAGCTTCGCGCTCGCGTGCCGTATCGCTCGAAAAATAACCGCCACCACCATATCCGTAGACTATATATACTTGGCTATCTGTGCGCATCACTTTTTACAGCTTGCACCAGCTGACAGATTTGCGTTCACTCACATGTTGACGACAGACATGAGTCTGTCCTTGCTCTGTGCCCAATCCCACTGTGATTCTTTCTTTCGTAATCGGTTTGATTGTTTCTATTATTTTCTCTCCTCTCTCCGCCCGGTCGTCCGCCCTCCCCTCCCCGTCATTATTTTCATTCACAATGATTTTGTACTGTTTCAAACTTTTGCGATCTCTCTGTCTCCTTCATTTCTTGTTTTTTTCAACTATCTCTCACTCGATCGATCAACTGTCTTGTCAACTGTATGTATATGCATGTGTTATCGATTGGTACAGATCTATCTTTCTCTGAAAGCCATTCATATCCTACCTATTTCACATCCTCTTTGCTCAGCTTCCTGTATCAGCATATTTTGTGCATCGCATCTTGCTCCGCATCTACTTCATATGTGCATATGTGTATACATATATATATACATATATATATATATATATATATATAT